CTATTAATCTTAACTGCGCAATCGCTACATATGTGCTTCAGAGACTAACTTCCTCTAAGTTAATTAACGCCCATTCAACACTTCTGGTTGAATAATAAACCATGTTTTTTAAACGCATCAATTCCGCTGACCGTCTTCCCACGACTCAGAGAATGATCTCATCCCGAATTCGCAGTCGTAACCAAATCTCCCTAATTAAGATATGATACAAATCCCCCACATCTCGTCGCCAAAGAGTCCGAAAGCTATTAAAAAATAATGTGCTATAGAAATCAAATGACGCAGAAGAGACGAGCTTCAAATCCACCGCGGCTTGCTAATCTCTACTTATCTCTCTAAAATTCGAAAAATAAATCTAAATTAGAGCTACCGTTATACTTTCATTTTTATATTTTGGCTTTCCCTCTTATTTCTCTCATCTTTTCTGTTTAATTCTTTCGCTGTGTAATTATTAATTGCGCCTTAGCGTAAATTCGGTCGCGGATTATCGTTGGTACGCTACCGACAGTTCGACAATTGTTAACTGATAATGTTTATTGGTATAGCGTGCTATTTATATTATTTCCTTAACCCTACGTCAATTATGTTAGTATGCAGGAATTGATGATGCGTCGACTTTGCCTAGCTTTTTTGATTATCTTGTGTTTTGCTTGCTAGTAGTCTACATATTATATCGGGCGATTAAAAATGAGTGACTGTCGAGTCGCGTTTGGAAGTTCGAGTTAAATACGATTTCCCATTAAAAACAAAAATTTCAAAGGTGACTCGACGGTCACTCATTTTTGATCGCTATGTATTTTATTTGCGTATTAGTTTGCATTTTCTTGTTATTCTTGAGAATAGTCCTTCCCTTATCAGTTCTAAATTATAATCTTGGGCTGCTAGCATGAACGTGGGTCTGCTCTAAATGAACAAGAGCCATTTTGTTTTTTGTCTAGATCGTACCGATTTAAGATCCTTAAGAATTTGCTTTCTCCAACGTTTCCTTTAATAAATTATTGCTCCTTAATTTTTTCCTTGATGATTAATTTGTCAGTTGTTTTCCTAAAATACTTAGTTGTTCTTCGATTTCCGCTTGCCCCAATTCATCCCATTATTTCTTAAGAAATTTTACCATTATTTACTATATCCTCAATCGCCGTCAAGATTACTCTCAAAACTGTTTGCAAAACATTTAAGATGTAATTAGTAAATTTTCCGGAAAATGAATCTGTTATCAGAATTTCCATAGCACGCTAGATATAGGAGCTACAGGTTACAGGATTTTTACGGAATGAGGTAGAGGAAAAAAAAAGAAAAATAACATCCACGGGTAACCAGATCTTGCTAAATCAACATCGCTATTACGACGATGCATTCAAATGAATTTCCTTTTTTGTCCTCTTTCTCATTCCGTAAAAATCCAATGTGGCACTCATAAGAACTAATAAAGCCTGTGGCTTCTACTTGTGGCTTGCTATGGAAATTCTGATAGCAAATTTTCCGAAAAAAAGTGCTCGTAGAAGGGCCGACCGTTTAAGTTAGGGAAAATGAAAACATTTGGCATTTTCAGCTTTTCGATTTTTCAAAAATTTTAAAATCGTTTTTTTAGTCACAAAAAGGAGCAACTTTGCCCCTATTTAACCTATATCTCCCACTGCTACGGAGATCCCAATTGCCAGCCACGAATGTGAACCACCCTGTACATACGCCTACTATTTAGAAATATCCCTAATAAATGTTTAAAAAATGTTACATCTCTCAGTAAACTTATCATTTGTATCAGCCACCGGCTGGGTATCTACATATCTTGTAGATGTAAATTTAGTCCTCTTTTCGAATTGCCTTTTAGGTGCGTTCCGCGTATTAACATTTTTCGTTAGCTTACTTTTCCTTCAATGTTTCGCATTTCATATCTCACGAATTTTTTATCTCTTTTTATTCTCTACAATTTTGTTCTTTGCTGTTTTCATTTTTGTTATATTTTGATATCTGTGATATTTTGATCCATTTATTTTATCAACGACTCAAAATATTATTTGAAATACAATTTCCTAAATTCCAGTTTCCATTTACTCGTTATTTCATTTTCGAAATTTTCTGATATTTCTTTCGACAACATCCCGCTAATAAAAGCATCGTCCGGGAAGATTATATGCCACGTCCTGCACCTACATCCCTCCAAAATGCACTAATTTACTGCGTTTGTCTTCAGATCTACTATTTCTTTCGCCTCAAAATACAATTTAACCGATCGCAACCAATTCTCCCATTCCGTACGTACAGAGACTTGCCTATATTGTCGCAATGGAACGATTTTATGTTACAATACTCCATTTAAGAGATGATTTTTTTATTTAAAAAAACCTCTGTAAAAATATTACTAAGATATTTCAGAAGTTGGAAATTCTTAAATAGCGGTTCAAAAGGAATTCTTAAAACTCAATGATTTCTAAACTGAAGATCCGTAGATAATTCCGAAAATTTGGAAAATGTTTGTTAAAGGCTCACGAGGTCACGAGGTTTCTAAGAAGATATGGAAGCAGAAGGATAGTGGTAACGACAATTTTAAAGAGATAAAGGGAAATAAAGAATAATCGTGGAATATGCAAAAGCAAAATTCTGTGCTCTATCATTAACTTGTGAGGTTGCATCCCTCTATTCAGATACCTGAAGCCATTTTCAAGGGTTAGTGATGATATTACTTTTTTCTGTGTACCTTCTAATTTAATACAGCATATTTGTTTAACAAAATAGATGAAGGGCATAACAAAGAACAATTTTTCTCAACTCAATGATGCAATTTGATTTTTAGTAAATAAATGCAAATTGCAACCAATTACACGATTACACCTATATAAAGTCATTCAGTCTTGGGGATTAAAACAAAAAAGTCTGTTACGAAATTTTGGTCTCAAACAAAAAAAAACAGTATGATATCGAACGTGATTTGTTTTGACCTACATGCATGACCTCAATTCGTCGACAATTAATTTCTTTAGATGTACCCAGAATCGAACAGGTTGATGACCATCAACTTTCTACACATATGTGGAATATTATTCATTAACACGATCTTGTTGATTTTTATAAAAATTTCCGGTTCGATTTCATTTTTCAACGAAACCTCACTTCTACCTCGTTTTCACACGCATTACGTCGCTGAAACACACGAAGGAAGAGCGGATTGAACGAATTACATTACATATTCAGGAGGAGAAAGAATGGTATTGGAAGAGAAAAATCATTGAACCTGAAAATTTGTAATTCAAAAGGTCACCGAATTAGGCTGTTTTTATGTTATAATATATATATTCTTTTTTGTAGGCATAGGATAAACCACACTGTTTCCGCTGCTTGTAAACAGCGCAATTATTCTAAAAAAGAGCATTTTAAAGCTAAATTCGACGTTTATTCTACGTTTTCTTGTTGTAAAACCAATATTTTAGAGTTCTCAATTTGGAAAAAGCTCTTTTTGTGATAAAGCCAAATGTCCTTTACCTAGCAGACGTTCTTTTAATTGCAAGTTTGCCAGTAAGTAATTATTCTACTCAATGCTGTAATCAATCTTTAAATAGTGTTGACTGTAAAATAAAAAAAAATAAATCGGACGGTCATCAGTTCGCGAATAATTCATTAACATTTTTACTGTACCTTAGGCTCGGTTCGGTAACTAATTAAATATTCATTAATTGCCAAAATTTAATTATTAAAATGCGTCTACTGTAAATTTACCCATTGTATTGCGTAATGCATCAATAATAAGGTAACGTAATAGCTATAGTAGCTTCGATTGGTCATCTCACACATTTAGGCTCATGCAGCTAAACAGCTCTAAGAGCATTCAGTAATTAACTAAAAAGGGATTAAATGGAAACTTCAGAGAAAATGGGGAAAATTGTTTAGTAATTATAAACAAAGCCTAGATATGAAAATTTAAACGGATTTGGTGAGTTTTTGAAAGGTACTTTAGGAAACAGTTGGATAGAAGGGTTAAATAAAATAATACACGGTAATGAAGAGGTGGGACCAGGATTAATTGAAAATCGAATGAGATATTAATAAAAGAAGGAGAAAATGGGATTTAGCAAGCATGAATAGCAAGAAAAATGTAACCAGATCAGAGGAATTGAAGAATACGACGAGCCAAACAAAAATTTTAAAAAAACACTTTACTGGTTGTATCGTATGCGCTTTAGATAAGATTTCTAGGAGATTAATAATAATAATGCCTTTATTATATAATTATTTAGGGAAAAGTAGGTACAATTTTAAATGTTGAAATGGGGCGAAGAACAGTTTTACAGTAAAATACCGCAGCCTGCTCTGTCACTTAACTTTACAAATTCTGCTCTAAGGGTTTATTTGGTAAGCATAGATATTTTCTTAGAAATCTCTATTGAAATTTAATTACAAACACTCTCATTCTTGCTGGTATGCGAGGCAGAGGTGTTACTTTAACCTGTTCTAATTCAACCCCATTTTTTTCTGTTCTGATGTAATTGGATTGGGGTATTGTATAAAAACCATAATCATAATAAGAGCATTGAAAGAATTAATTAGAAGAAGATTTTATTGAAATCTTGGGTCTTAAGCAGTATAATTCAATCGATTATGAATAAATTAGACAGCACACTCGTTTAGGAATATCGTATGTGTATTAAGAAAATACCTTTAGATTAAAGCTAGATGAAGGACTACACGAGCGAGACGGACAAACTTCTGGGGTAGTCATTCACGCATAACGCACTTTCATTTATCAGTTGATGAAGTTCGGACAATCAAAGGTGTACCTTCCCTTTGAAATTTTATATAATCCCTTCTTTACTTTGATCAGATACACACTGCAGTTGCGTTTCGCAGTCTCAAATAAAGCATCTGCGCTAATAGCTTGAACATTTAAAAAAGCGTCTAACATTCACCTGACCTTTGCTTTCCAATTAGAAATAGTTACTTTAAGTCAATTCCAAACACGCAATTCGCGGCAAGTTTCTAGACTCCAAGCCCCAAGCCAAACTTACCCCTATATGCTGTCCGTCTGCAAACACCTGTGGCACTAAAACATGTTCACAGCTCATACGATCTCGTATTTCAGCCCTGCACTCGTTGCTCATAAAGACGTCCCTTTCTTCGTATTTCAGCAGGAGGGTTCTTAATATTTGTTTTACCTTCATGCAGTTGTTGTACGTTTCCCTTACGATTCCCATTGTCGTCGTGTAGACGACCAGCTTTCCCGCATCCTTTTCTTTGTAACACTGCAATAAGAGAAAATAGAAGCTTAGTTTGTGGTTAAGGGGAACATTAAACCAGATGCTTTTGTTTAAAGATATAAAATACTGAGGGATGCGTGTTATATTGGACCTTAAAGACTTCCGACTTATGTTGAAACGTTTTTTTCATTTTTCGCTTAACAAATTCGGCTACATAGGGATATTAATTTTACGTCACGCACCCTAAAGCGTTGATGAAAGTTGTCACCAGTGCTAATTAGATGCTTGGATGATACTGCAGTTCCATTTTCCTGCTTTATCTGTAATTAAATCCTTGGAAACTCTGCCTCACGTTACACGTATGGGTTTTTTTTATTTGCCCACCGTTCAAACGGAGTTAAGCGGCGTTGCACTGGTCGTTACAATACCTTTCCAAGCAGCAAAAGTGCCACGTGCAGTCGATCAATATAATGTACTACAGCGAAACGTAAATTGACTCCGTGTTGTACTACACTCCCTAATTGAAACCTGCTACAATAATTATCAAAGCTAATGGATCTGGAATATGTCAACCTTGGGGCGAGAGTAGGTTTCTCCGAGAATGATCTCCGATTGTCCTTTTGAATCTGTTTTTTCAGGAATTTACACTTTGGTTTTAATTGCAATTGTTAATTTTCAATTTGGACAGTAACCCGAAGAAATTCTTTCGATCAGGGTTCCCATCGCAAGGGAGGTCAGCTCGAATCTAATTTTAGGACCCTGACAAAGTGGAGTGGAGCTTCGCTGACTTGCGCCCAATGCATTTGGGCAAAAGCTGTCAGGTCCCTCCAATTTTTTTGACCTATACAAATTTTTACGGGGTAAGGGAGATTGCGCACGATTGGTATATGAGCTACTTACACAATAGGACTCAATATGTTAATATTAGAAAAGAATGCCACTGATTATAAGTCTGAAATGAAGACTACTAACAGAGGCGTCCCACAAGGTTACATTCTAGGACCAATTTTATTTAGTCTGTCTCAATATTTAAACGAATGCTGCACCGTAATGTATGCTGATGATGACACTACTATCTCCTCGTCTTTATCACAACGTGGGAGCTTTAGAGAAATCAGCTTCCATTATGGAATCTCTCTCGAAATAAGAAACCCTGAAAAAAACACCTTTTGTGCTTTTTAATCAAAACCTGTAATTTGAGACCCCCATGGTGGTCCTCAGATTCGAATCAGCCCGTATATTTAATTGCAAGATGTGCACGACACCAACGCATCCCTAGTGAATCAAATTCATAATTAAGCCATGATTGAAGCCCTTATTCGTTAAACTTAATTCATCGGCAATTTAGGGAATGAGTTATGTCATCAAATAATGTAAACCTTTATAGATTCAGGCGAGGATTCAAGCTCATTTCACGTATGCAATGGAGTATGGACTAAATTTATAATTCTGATCCCTTAATAACGATTCTTTTCCGCAACCAAGCTCTCAACTCAAAACTCCTGTATGATATATAACCTATACCTACTTTCTTATCTAAACAGTGGCTTTCAGTCTGGGATGTCTCCTAAAAACGTAGCGTTCGATCTACTAGCATATTTCTACACAGAATGAGACAAAAGGAAATTTATCAACGTTCTACTGTTTGATATCAGTCGTGCCTTTGACTTGACACCAGCCAAACAGAATGTATATAAATATGGTATGAACTAACGGACGATCAAAAATGAGTTGCTATCGAGTCGCCTTTTAGTCAGTCTTTAATTTGTATTCCGTGTGCAACTTTGTGAAGCAATATCATGCTATACATCAAAATTTTCGGAAAAATGTGTAGATTACGAATATCGATGGGGCGTACCTCTCAGGGCTGGCCGAAAGGAGAAAACAACCGCTATACAAAAATACATATTACGATAAAAAATAGCTAAAAATATTTTCCAAAAGGTAATGTATTTGCTTGAATCTCTATGGAGCAAACCTGCAAGGGGTGCCGGAAGAGAGAAAACTACCCTTAAACAACCCCTATCGAAAAATAAATGTTGCTATAAAACATTACTATAAAGATTTTTCAAAATGCATTTATTCGCTTGAATCTCCTTGGGGCGTACCTTTAAGAAGTGGTGGAAGGGAGAAAACTACCCTCAAACAACTTTAAACAGCCCTAATAATGACAAAAAGTAGCTGAAACTATTTTATAAAATATATTTTTCTGTTAGATTGTCTATAAGGGGTACCAATAGGGGGTGGCTGAAGAGAGAAAGAAGAAATGGATGGACAAAGGAAGAAAAGAATGCTTCATATTTATATTATATTTGCATAGTTTTAAGGAAACAAAGTTGCTATTGACAGCTTTTTTATTTTAAAAATGGATTTATTATTCGTTGTCGGAATGGCTATCCAGTGCATCGTCAGAATCAGTAGTTTTTTCATCTACATATTTCATTGTTTGAACAAAATTCGGGATCAGCCTCACATTTCCGTAGGACGCATTTTTTGGGTTAAACATTTGCACCTTCGAGTACAATTATTTTTTTACAAGAACATTTTAAAACATCTAGTATTTCTTCGGGTGCGCAAGGAAAAGTACACATAATGGGTTCAAATGTTTCGTTATCCTATCTCCAACCGTATTCTGCTGGTGGCGGTAAATTCGGTTGAGTCTGTGTATCCCGATTCCATTCAATACATTGGTAGTGACATCTTTGTATTGCTAGACTTTTAAAACATAGTTTTAATGCTGAATATAAAGAACAGACAAAAGCCTCGATCTGCTCAAAATCAGAGTCACTTTGTGTTTCGTTTTTACCCAAAGAAGCCAATGCCTGAAGTGTAGATGGAGTTCCTTCTAAGAACTTGTTCCAAAAACTAATTTCAGCTTTGCCTTTAAAATCGCCTGTGACATCTGGCCCTGAAAGGGCATAAAGACCTGGAAGTGCTTCAGCTTTGAGTGGTCCAAGAGCCTCGTAAAGTGGTTGTAAAGGCATTTCACGACCCCTAGAGCCAATACATATAAACATGGTATTTTTAGATAATAATGGAGCTCGTCTTAGAGCCAGTACCAAAACATCAGTAGTTGGCGAAAAAATTCTTACTGTTCATGTGAACTCTTTAAGTGGTTCATATCGCCGCATATCACAGTACAAAGCATTGTATTTTTATAAGAACAAACTTCCAATTTCTTCTAAAAGGTGCATCATCTTACTTTTACCCTGTAGATAAATCATACATAGAACCGTCAGCGTAAAAAAGTGACCATGGTATTACAGTAAGTTCGAAATTACCAATTATTTCTTTTAAATTGAAGTCGGGACAACTTCGGAAATTCAAGACACACCTACAAAGCATACTATGGCCTTGCTTTAGTTGCACAACACCTTTTTTATATTTGCCGTAGTTCTTTTTAACATGGATGCATTTAAGCTTAAACCAGAAAGAAGACTTTAAAGCATCCCAAAAATTGGTTATTTTATTTTTTATCGTGTTTTCAACAAAGTCGTTTTCGATTTTTTTCACCAATGTCTGACATAGCACATATATCTTTGCATTTGAATATCAAAAACAGGCAAAGGTGCGTCAAAAAATAGGTGGAAACTTCTGTGAAAAATCAGTTCTGAGTCTAATTTACAAAAGGCGAAGTTAACCGATTGTCTCAGAAAATGCCCACCTATTTTCGAACGCCCTGCGGGTAATTTATATTTTTTATATTAAACCTATTAGGGGTTTATATTATTATGAATCTACAAACTATTTTCTAATCCTTAGGTAGAGGGGGTTGCAACCCCTATCTTATACTTCTTAATAGTAAGTACTATTTCAATTACAGAACATACACAAAATTAACATTAATATCAAACTTGACGTAGAATTATATTTACATAAGTAAAATTATACAATATTAAAAATTGCAACCCTTCAGGTAGTGGGGGGTCTTCCTAATATTAATTTTTTAGTAAAACACAGTATTTTTATTTACTTAAGCAAGCATTAATCAATTTAACAAAAAAATGCAATTATTTAATAATATATTTAAAAGGACAACATAAGGGTAGTTTTCACCCCTCTGCGACCTTTGCGAGATGCGCCCCATAGAAATTCGTATTATACTCATTTTCCCGAAAATTTTGATGTATCGCATAATATTGCTTCACTTATATGCACACGGGACCTAATATTTGTACAATTCAACACTGACTATTTGGAAGTTCAAGTTAAATACCATTTTCCATGTTAACAAAAATTCCAAAGGTGACTCGACAGCAACTCATTTTTGATCGCATGGTATAAACATTTGGGTGTTGGGAAACGTGGTATCTAGGACGTTTGAAATAGCTTTAGATGTTTTCCCCCAAGGATCAATGCTTGGTGCTCTGCTGTGTTTTTATACTGCGCTGACCTCCCAAAGTACGTAAAAAACAAACAACAAGCAAAACACTCTGCTTGCAATATACTATGCCTTGGCATACCCTCATTTAGCATACGGGGTAATACAACATGGGGATCACTTTTTTGTTGTATGAAGTGAATAAATTATAGGTAGATACTAATGTCATTAGTCAACGGGCTAATGTCTGCAAAAATTGTAGTAGACTTGAGGATCGTAGCGGTTTTTTGTTTTGCATAGTCTCGTTGGTAACCCTGGTTTAATAACCGTTCCCATCGATCGCGTACCCAACACCTGAAGTGGCCCCCACATAAACTGCCACACTTCCCGAAAAAAGGGCTCTAATTTAACCAAAGATCCTTTTAATTCTCATCTCTAAAGGTATTTGATTTGTTACCCCAAACACAATTTAAACAATAATTTGCGAACGTGGTCTAAATAAAAATAGTTGGTGCAAACAATTCTTTATGTTGCATAGTTTATAAGGGCATTCCTCTAACTGTGACAAACTTGTTGAATTATTGAGCAGACAAAAAAGGCTAACACTGTTCCATTAAAACATCAACTAATTTAAATTGACCAAATAAAAAACTAAGTGCTATAATTAAAGTAAACTGAGATTTTTCGCATATTCCATTTGATCAATTTGCCCCGTAAATTATGAAGTGCTAATAATATTGCACACTTTGGTTACGAGTTTGTTTAACGAGCTCTTACTAATAACAGTTTGCTTCCCATACGTAATTAATTATAGCAATTTTGTGATTGCACGCACAAATTGTATTTTTTTTTCATAACATAATTATTGTTATTTGCCATTCAGAAATATCAAGGTAACATCTTAAAAACGTGATGAAGATGTTACAAAACAATTATTGGCGAAATAGCAGTTCAAGGCGGTGTACTGCTCTCTTCAAGTAAATTAAATATTACGAGCGGCCTTTGAATTTGGGAACAATATTTGAGTATAGGTGACTGCTTTTTGTGGAGGAAACGGTCGCCATCATACTACTTGGTTAATCCATCGGTAAAATCGCCGACTAGGTGGTTTTTCAGATTGAGCTTTAGTGATAATGATAAATTAATTTGGACTGAAAGTAGATCAATTGCATCTTTACAATTTTAACAATAATAATTTCTACTATTTTATTCGTTACTTAATTCTCCCTAATGAATTTTAATTTCTTCTTTTGCTTGAACTGGACGTCCCCGTAGCAACTAAGCCGGAATTAAAGGATTTAGATCGGAAGGATCGTTAGAGATGGGAAGTAAACTAGCATATGCATGATTAAACAGCATTTTTTGTATTGCAGATCAGTATTTTATTACCAAATATCAAACCGTCAAAGCTAACATTTACCGATATGTATTTATTTTATTTATATGGTCACTCTGCAATTGGGCACAAGCCTGTTGAGGGTCCAGAACAAGAGAGGGACGATAAAATTAAAAAAATTAGAAATTATGAGTTTTTAAAATAAAATTCAGATAAAGTTTGTTCACTTAGCGAGCTCACGAATAATCTAACTCAAAATATACTACAGCCTCTACAACAGAAGGCTTTTAGTGAAAATGTGAAGTTTCTAGCTACTGTAATTGCTCTCAGCCGGACAACCAGCCACACAGTCATAAAGAATATAATAGCGTATTTTTTTTTCAAAAATGCACTGTATATTGTCGCAGATCTACTGGAAAGGCACGATATTTAATAAGTGTTGTGCGGTAGAATCCAAAAAAAGTATATAGCAAATCAGGATCTTACTACCAAAAACAGGCATAGAACCGTCAATTTAAACAGTAACGCCAGTACTTTGTATTTAATAATATGTAATTAAAAGCTTAAAAGTTATAAATAACCAAGCACAAGACTCAAAGATTCTGTCTTGCATTTATATTTGCAAAAACTCTCATTAATGCTGTACACGTGCTGTTCCGAAACTGAAAGAGTTTCACACCCTCGCTGGGACAGACTTTTAATTAAAAATTATTGGTCTAAATTCTAAAGTGAAAATGTGTATACCAGTTGCAACTAAGTTATAAACACCGCTGTAACGTAAACACGCGAAGACCGAGTAACCTAAACCTCAATTATACAGAAAATCGGAAATGCACATTTTAGAAATTCAATATTTAAACGTGACACCAAATTTATTCAACGTTATCATGAAGTCATCGTCGAAATTCAAAGGAAGTATGTCAAATTGGAATCTTCGAGGTAACACTGATTTAATGCTAACACACTTACATTTTAATTTGGCGGTTTTAATAACAATTACGTGAAATAGACGCATCTTGTTTGAGTTCATGACGCAAATTTAATAAAATATTTGTTAAGAAAGTCACCGCCCAATTTAATTATACGTGCGTGTGGCAGGTAAACGTATAATTAATCACAGAGCGTCGTGTAATTAAAATTCCGCGTGTAAGTGTAGGAAACGTTACAAAAATCTAATATTGCTCGGTGTAATATTGCGTTGACGAATTGTGCAATTATTTGAACTAATTAAAGGCACCTTGTACACGTGACTGTTCGCCTGATGTTTAATTGATAACTTGAGAGCCCCGTTATACAAGCAATCTCAAGTACACAACCCTCTATTGATCCTTTCCAGTTAACGTTTCTAACAGTTTCATTAAAGTAACATTGACAACGAAAACCTTTATCGTCATTTTCGTTCATTGAAGAACAGATGCGAATTCACTTTGAGGCCGTTCTTGGAATAAGGCCATAACAGATTCACTGGTTGTTGAACAAGAAATGTTATACGACAATATTTACAAATTGTGTCTCGTCGTGAGGGGTGTACTAAGCTTTTGGATGCAAATAGTCTCTCTACGTAAACTTTGTAAAGAAGCTTAGCCCCAAATTATACCAATTAGCCGGTTCAACCGATTATTCAGAGGCAAGGTCCAGACATATACCAACACAGAATCCCTCTGAAACGAATGTTATTACTTGTGCGTGAGTGCACCATGCTATAGGAACTTTATATTCTGCACTTAGGCTACAGTACAGTTTATGATGCGACGCTAACATAACTAACACAAATGCTTCATCACTCGATGAATTGGACATTTTCACACAAAAGCGCCATAAAGACTGTGAACTTCTTCCGAATAAAAGTACTAAGTGTAGCGATGCTGTCACTTTTAGCCGCCATAGTGTGAATGCACACTAGAGTTACCAACGACATTTTGCAGCGCGGCATCGCGTCGTGTCGTCGAGCTGAATCTAGCGCAAGTCAGACTCGATGGGCCATCGTAAACACAGATTTGCGTATTTGGTTTCAGTTGTCACTTAAACCTTGGGCTACAATTTTTTATTTCAATTTACGTGAAAAACAGAAAACTAGATTGAATTTGCAACAAAAGAACACGTGGGCGTCCGTATTGTGTGATATTTTTTATTCAGAATTCGTTGATCCCTACAATTGCCAATTAATTCGAATCGGAGAATAAGCCTGTCGGTAGCGGAGAATTAAGCGATTTTCGTGTCTACACTGAATTAGTTTGTCAACCTTTTGAGAGTCGATTAAAAAGGTAATGAGATGATAAACGAGTGGGTGCTCTCTTAATCCACGTCCGCATTCTCGCTTCCATGGA